CAGGAATTTCTACACAAAATAAGAGAGTTTATTTGGTTAATGTGTTTATGTGGGTCTGTGTTTTGTAACCACAAGTTCAATCCTGTGTGTATTAGGTGTAACACACTCACCCCTTGAGAGTCCTTTGGATTGGTGAACATGTAGTCAAAGCAGTGATCGATGTTGGCCATTTTCATGGCTGCTCTAAATACAGAGAAAGTGACGAGATGACAAAGCAGGGACACTTTTATACACAAAATGCCTTGCTTTTCAATATTTTTATGCCAATAAAAATACCACAATTACATTAAAATTGTCATTGAGGTATAACTGTTTAATTACTGAAAGTAATGAAAGTCATTACATTTAGTTTTTTGTTTTCAAGGCATTTGTCATAGTGGCTACAGCTGTAACATCTTTATAAACCTTGCTTTACTGTTGTAGATGTGTTTTTAGGCTCAGAATTATTTATTTTTCCTTTAAAGAAAACGTAGATCAGCAGATTTTCCTATTGTCAAAATCTCTTAAGAAGACTTCTCATACTTGACACATCTTAAAGGTAAATGTGGTATTTATAGATGGCAATTCTCTATCAGCAAGGCTTTTTACACTTTCATTTTATATTTTCTCACATGTTGCATTCAGTTTAGCTTTTACAACGGATTATTTTAACATTATCTAGAGTTAAAAAAGAGCAGCTAGTGATCTGCAGCATAAACCTTTACCTGTTTAGAAAGATTCCTCCTCTGATCGTCTCATAAGGGTTTGAGCGTGTTCGGGCTCTCCTCATCTCCTCGCCCTCCAGATCATCAAACACTGTCTACATTCCACAACATTTTGGATAAAGACAAAAAAAGAACCCGAAACCATGAAAGTTTTGCAATAATGCATAAAAGAACAAAATTAGCTAAATATCAAATTTTGGGATTTTTACTGAAGACAGCTTTGGCTTGAAAAGTTTAAAGATTGAAATGTTCTTTGTAGATGAAATACACATAAATTATCAGGACAAAACTTCTCTTTGAGTTTCGTGCCTGGGTATCCCATAATTACTTAAACCGCTTTTATTTCCTTCAGTTCTTATATCACATCAGACATAATAAATAACTGGTATTTTCAGTATCACCTTGCACCGTAGAAGCGTGTGAAGAAGATCTTCTGTACAAAACTCTGTTTCATCCTCAATCTTTAGTTTTCTCTGCACAGACATAAAACAAAGATGTTAATTTAAATAAAGCAAAAAAAAAAAAAAAAAAAAAAAAAAAAGAATAAAAGTGTCAAAGCTGATAAATATTGAGACATTACCGGTCCCAGAATCAGCCAGTCTCTCAGCTCATCTGCATCTGGTGTCTCTGTGGTGCATTCTGGAAACCAGTCGACCTTCTCAGTTGCACTGGGCTTTGTAGACAAAGTTGAGATCTTTGTTCTAACAAAACATGTCTAATGTAAAATTGGTGAAAACAACAAAAGGTGAGCACTGGTTTTGCTGACCTCTGGTTCATCCCGCCAGTCAACATTGAGTTCTCCCTGGAAGCCCTGCAGCGTGAGCCCCAGACCCCTCCTTCCACGCTGGGTAGAAGCCTCTACGATCTCTTTGCGTCCCTGGCTGAACTTACCCAGACCTTCTCCTTCTCTAAAGCCCATTTTTGCCTGTGAAAGACGACATGATAGAAGCGTCATTAAAGCACAGAATTTAATATTCTTCTGAATAATCTGATTACTAAATAGTACAATTTCAGAGATCTCAAAATATCTAAAAATATAATGAGGTTTTGATTTGATCACCATGAGCTTCTGCGACACGCTGTTGTACATGGAGAACTTCGAGGCGGTCTGAGCGGAGTCGTCATTGTCTTGGGCATCAAAGGAGGATGTTGATATGGACGGCATAGAGAAGCTCGGCCTGTGATCCTCCTGGTCACTGAGGGAGTCATTTTGGCTCGAGTCTGGACAAGAAGACACATACAAATAGAACAATAGGTGTGTGTCAGTATATAAAGTTTGGGATATTGTCTCTTTTTGTTTAAGAACGTTTGGAATTGATAGATCCAGGGCAAATTTAGCTTATCAAATTCATACTGAAAACATGCAAAAAGCACACGTTAGTCTGGTTAGCACACAAAGAACCCTTACTTAATTATTTTAAACTGCCAATGCATTTTGTTCATTAATGGTGAATATAAATTTACTCACCTTGTCTAGATAATGACTCTTCATCTGAGCTGCTTTCATCGAGCCGCCTCTTCCTCCCCGGAAGAGGTGAGTATGTTGCATCTGCTCTTCTTTTCATTATAGCTAAAAACAAAACAGAAGAGTGATGGTAAAAGCAAAAACTGCTGCAAGTCAATGTGATGTGAATTACCATAAAAAACATACAAGATGTGTAATGGGATTACAGCTTCTACAGATAAACACCAGGCCACTCAACAATTGTGAGTGGAGGTTTTAATCCTGTTTCACTTTGCAAAATTATGAGTAATCAATTGAAAGTTTGAATATAAACACAACAAAACAGACATAACTGAACTAGAAACACTTTGCTCATAATAAACTTGTATTATGCAAAATTATAAAATTTCATGATCCGTTTTCCACAGTACTATTGAGATGACAGGAGATTGAGTGTGTAAATATGGGGAGACGCAACTGGGGACTGTCGTTCCAATTCCAGTTAAATGAAGATGCACCAGTTTACAGGCCAGTAAATGGAATTACCTAGTTTCCCCTTGATTGGATCTGACCTGTGACTATCATAACAAATACAGATAATTATGATTCATGTTTTATTTTAAAATGTAATTAATTTAAGAATTCACATAATGCATTTTTATGGATATTTTCATAAAAATGAAAGCAAGCTAATATTTTAAGTGTAATTATCTGCTATGTTTGAGCAAAAAGGATGTACTACTTATTTTTCAGGATGAAAAGTTAAATGAATGTAATTTTAAAAGGAACAGCACGTGTCTAATATTTTTTTTCAATAATTGCAACCACAGAACTATGATACTTTAATAGTAAATTTTCATTGAACATTTTTGTTACGGCTGTTTTTGTAGCTTAATTGTAGCTAAACAAGGAACAAAATCGCCCTTCTCCCTCAAATTCAACAACTTCCAACATCCCTGCCAGGAACTGCACACAGTCAACACTTTTAAATGCAAACCATTACCTATCGATTATGTGGTAAATGTATTTAGTACAGGCCCATGTCAGTCTCCGAGATATGTTTTTGTAGAAAACACTAACGGGCGTAGAAATTTTTAACGGGCTACCGCAGTCTGTTTTCAATGAAATGAAACTACGCAGCATTAACCGTTAGCGTGCATTGTTAGCCAACTATGTTTTTGTTTTACCAGCTCGGAGGAGGGAAAGCCTCACTCTTCTGAGGGGAAATAACACCGACTGGGACTTACTGTCATAAATGTTTCAAAACGTTCGACTAACAGTTTTATTTTGAATAGAAAAATGTGCCAAAAAAGCAGTTTCTGAAGTTAACATTAGCCCGCTCTCCGTAATCAGAGCGTCCTTCTTCTGAGACGGACGCATACAGATGACGTAGCTTCCGGAAGGCTCTCAACACAACAGCTTGGAGTTTTTTTTTTTTAAACTGAAGTGTTTTGTTCTTACAGCGTGTTCATAATTGAAAATTTTGTCTTCCTTATATTATTTCTCAGCAGTGTATCACGGGTAAATGCTCGTATGTATGGAAGCCAATTTCCGCCACTCTGTTAAAAAAAATACATTATCTCATTATAATGAGAGAGTATCTCAAAATAATGAGATACTGTACTCTCTCATAATGAGATACTATCTCATTACTATATCATGATATGATGTAACAAAAAATTATTTACAGCTGTTTTAAAATACTGCTTGGATACAAAATGTGTTTTAAATCCTCTAGTTTTGTGCCTTGTAGTTTTTTTATAATACGTTATTTGTAATGTTTGGGTCTTAAAAGTCATTTAAACTGCAATTTGTTTCTTTTTTTACTTTGAAAGTTACAAACTGCCTTCACGAAATATTCATAACACTTGTATTTGGGAAACTAGTTGAATTTTATTATTGAAATAAATGAAACTTTCAATAGAAATTGAATGTATTTAATATGACTTTAATTTTTAAAGTGGAAGAAATGAATATACAATATTTACAATACAATATAAACTCAGTATCCCCATACTGAGTATCACATATTGTCAGCATCACGCTGACAATATGATGCTGTCCTTGCTTTCTTCAGCAAGGACAGTAAAAGTAGTCATGATTAATCGGTAAATGGATGGGCTTAAATACAGAACAATTATTTAAAAAGCAGTAATTATAGTAACTTGTTAGAGGTTGCAAAAACTTAAGGCCTGAGTGGAGGTTCAACCGTCAGAATAAATATACAGCCAGAGATACAAAGGACTATTTCAGATCAAAACTTATCTATATTATATTTGGCTCAGTCACAGTTCAGACTCGTTCCCATTAAAATATCTTAATTATTGTGGTTAATTAAGTGTTTCTCAACATATGTCATTGAAGCCTAAATTAATACATTTACATTTGTGCTTTTTTCTTCTGTATGAAGTGACTGGTGGACTTCTGCCATCACAGATGATGAATAGGAGTAGAAAATGTTGTTTCAGACAGTTGTGCCAGATTCCTCTGTACCATTTTTAGAATGGGAACAAACTTTAATTGTTCTTAATTGTTAAAACTACTTAACAGTGTCCCAGTAGACGTCACTGGAGTGTAGCTTTGTTATCCATTGTTGCATGTTAGTGTATTTCTCCCTGCTCTTAATTGGTGGACAAAACACTTGGAACATCTATCCCAGGTTTAATAATCTACCGTGTCGCCAGTGGATCTGCTAATCCATCGGTGACACAAATACACACACACACGCACACACACACACACACACACACCACACACGCACACACACACGCACACACACACACGCAACGATACGCATAAATCTTCCAGCTTACGCAATGACAATACAGCCAAGGGTTTATATACAACCTGTAGGGACTGGATTTCCCGAGAGCAGATCAACTGATTGAAGTGTTTTTGCCTGCAGACACCGGGGAGAGCTGTTGCTGCCTCAACACAAAGACACAGTGGGATACAGTTGCCCCGCAGCAGCTCCTGAGGGCAAGTTGCAGAGGAGTTTTGAGGCCTCAACTGTGAAGCACTGAAGGGACCAAGAATGTTTTTTCGGATCCCTCGCCTGACCCCTGGATATATCAGATATCTGCAGGTTTGTGTGATGCTTTCAGATGTTCTTCTTGTGTGGATAGATTTCAAATTATTTTAGACTTTGCTGTAGCTCGACAGTCAGGGACTGAAATTACAAGAATCTCATATCTATGCTGAGTCCAGGAGTTGCAATTCTTATGATTTTTTTAAATGAAGAATTATGTGGCTGTGAATAAAATACTGTTATTTTGTCATTTAAGTAACAAAATAACAGTATTTTGTTACTTATCTTTCTATGTCTCATATGTATTGTATATTTAAAGTTAATTTGCTCAACCAAAAATACAAATTTTGGTAATCGACATAGCATCTTTTAGAAATTTTGTGTAAACTCATTGATTTCCAATGAGTTTACATTTGTCTGGTCTGAGTCATGGCAGGATTAGGATAGAGAACCACAGTAGCCTGTCTTTAAGTGGATTTAATTTGAAGCTGTCTTCAGGTCAGGCAAATACCCTCTAATTGGATCTCTGTTGCAGTTGTATCAAAGCCATTTGTCCTGATTGTTATTTCAGATACATGCAGATGAACTTTAGAGCTTTAACACAAATTTTAATTTAAAAAATTGCAGCATTGGTTTACTTTTTTGTTGCTGAGATGTTCTGAAGTTTGATGGAGAATCAAACATAATTGAGGATGAATGAACTGAAGTCAGTTCTGATGAGATGCAAAAGATGTGGATGATTTGAATTTAGCTTTTAGAGCAAGCATTTTTACATATAAAAAAATGCAATCAGAAATGCTTTTTGGTGTCCTGTATCTACTCAAGTTTCCGAAATAACTTATAAAAACTTACAAAAATCTTCAATTGTGATAGAAACAAAGTCAAACATACATAATATGGAGACTTTGATACAGTTTTTCCCTCAGGAAAAGACCAATACTGGAATGAGACTAGCCTTGGAGGGCTACATTTTTCAGATTGTTCATTTGCCAGTGGCAGGAACGACATAGCTGCAAATTCATGCAGATGGATAGCTCTTATACTCTTTTTTTTTTTAGACCCAGGCAGCCCAGACGGTGCTGCAGAGCCGGGAGAGCACTGCCACGCCATGCTTGGCCTTCCTGATGGGTCTGATGGGTGTGGGTTTGTCCGGTTACAGCTCTTGCCAGCTCACACTCCACTGCAAGCCATCCACTCACCTCTTCAGATGAAAGAGATGGAGGAGACACCACATTTTTTTTATAACGTTTGAAAGTATTTTCCTTTTGACAGTTGCTTTCTGGATTTTGACAAAACCAGACAAAATCTTTAGAGATACTGATGACAGAAGTATTCTACCATTTGGCAGCTTTTATTCCAATATTCAGTCTTTGAGTCTTTTTATGAAATTAAACATGATTATTTCCCAAAATATCCACAACTGAAAACTTATGTGTTTTCACAACAACTCATCGTATGTTTATGTTGCTGTTTGCAGTTTCCCATTATCTGATTCAGGTTCAACATTCACCAAAGTTCTAACAATTTAGTATTATTATTTTGTTGTGTTTGGACTGACAAGCGTGTTGCCTTACAGTTTTGCTTAAATGAGTCCCAGTAAGAAGTACCTTCATTTCTTCTGCACAGCAGAGTATTTTTTGTTGAATGTTAAAGATGCACAGACAAAAGGAAAGGCAGCTAATGAGGTTTCTTTGGAACTCGGTTCATGTTGAACTTGGATCACTGTCCTCAGTTCTCCCACTTTCCCGTGCCTTATCATGGGATTATTCAGTTAGAAGTTGTAATTTTGCACAAAAAGAGGAAAATGTTAGTGCTTACTGCAGTGTGTGATAAATATGTGATGAAGCAAAGACATCCTGTCAGACTCATGACAAGATCTCAGAAAAGAAAAACAAAATCTATTCAGGTCAAAATTTTAGAAAGTTAACAAATGTGTACTCTTACACTGTGAACGTTATTTGTAAATATAGCCATACATGTGTTTCTTGGACTCTAAATAAGAGTAGTAGTGCAGGACATTGAGTCCTTCCTGCTTATTTTGTGAGGTAGACCGGGAGACATCCAGCTGGGCTCATTTGTTGTTGCAGAGCAGAGAAACCAGGACAGCCAACAGGTGAATCCACGTGGATCTCTCTCAGTTGCACTCCAATGATTACAATCTGAATGTAGATGAATGACCATTGGAGGTCTCTTAACAAAAAATGTACCTGTTTGTGGCTGTGTGCTTCTTGTGCTTGATGCATTTTTAATGGAGAAAATTAACTTTGACAGCACAATGAATGTAAATAGGAGCAGTTAGACTATAATTGTAAGAATGATCATATTGAAAACTCTTTGCAAAAACAATGAGAAGGTTATGACAATAGCATGACTGTAAAAGGAACCGTAGCATATTAACAGTTTATGATATAAGTAAGATGATCTCTAAAGATCTTTAGATAAAAACAGATAAGACCAGCTTACAACTGAGACATGAGAAAAAAAAGTGTAAAGAAGTAGTATATTTTATAGGTACACTGTGTGCGTTTAAAAAAAAGAAGTTGTATTTGATGATGCGGTCACGTATTTGATGCAGCATTGTGGTATGAAGGTATACAATGCCTTCGCTACGTATATTAAAAACAAAACTTTTGCACTAAGAGATTTAAATGACAGTGTTTATGTTCCCTACTGCCAATATAAGACTTATTGCAAGTTTACTGAAATATGTGCAGTAAATAAAGTATATTTTAAAAAATTGTAATTTTTCAGAATGGCCTGTCGGTTTGCCCTCATGGACCCGATGCACAACAAAGCACCTTAATAAACATTGTGCACAATTGTTTATGTTTCAATAAATCATTAAAAACCATGGTGTGACTTGTGTTTTCTTTGACATACGGTGTCTTGACATAGGCCGGTTGACTAGTTTGCAAGAACTTACATGAAAGAAGGCAGCAGTACCTGCTATGTCCAGTAGATGTCAGCAAACAACACGTGAATAATTTGTCTCCAATAGTTTGAAGATTTGACAGAATTGAAATTAAACAGATTAAACAAACGTATGTTTAGAAAGGGGGACTAATATATAATATAATTTTAGAAAAAGAAAATTATTTTTGCACAAGTATAAAAGTTGGTATAGAATATGAGTCTTTCTAATTTATTTAATATATAGATATTATCATTTGTTTTTTGTGGATTTTATGTGTCTGGAAAGATTTGTAGTAAATGTGATTTGACAATAAGTCATGTTTGTAATTCAGTCTGATCCAATAACAGACATAAAAAAATAAAAATAAAATAAAATAAAATAAAATTTGATTGATTGAAAAGACAATTTTCCGCTAAATATAATGTCTAATATTGCATTCAGAAAAAAAAAAAAAAAAAAACATAGAGCAATGGGTGCCAGCTTTAGTAATTAAGCTATACCATCCTGAAAATTTTGGGAGCATCCCTTTTCCAATCCACCTGTCTCAAATGAGTAGCTCGTTACAAGGCCTCTGTAGAGGTGGATAACTGATGACTTAATTCAAGTGTGTTGAAGCAAGAATGTATTTAAAATATGCAGGAGAGTAACTATTCAGGACTGGAGCAGGAGTTGGGCATTCTACCCCCTGCCCCACCTGAACTCTTGCGACCCCTTGGAAATGTGTTTGTTTCTAAATAGCAACCTGATTAAACATAGTTTAGCTTAAGTGAGCTGATCTGCTCACTAGGCAGTCAGCTCCAGAGCTGCTAGTCGCTGCCACCTGATACTGGAGGCTTAGGCGTGGAGTTCTGACCCAATTACCGACGTAAGCTGCTTTAATAAAAGCAAACTCTGTAGCCAAGCGCTTGCATGTCAAGTGTTACAGTTCTGGCACCTACAGATTAGAGGTGAATGCATGGAAATATACTGAGTGAATGTAACTCATATGAGTTCCTGATGTTGGCTGTGACCTGCTCTTTGGTTGGCGCTTAGACACGTAATTAGACCCATGTGGTTTATGCAGGTGGAGACACAAGTAGAGCTAGACATTTTTTTTTATTTTTATAAACTTTCCCCTCCCTCAGGTAAGAGAAGAATCCCAGACAGAGACAGCTTCTTTCTTCACTCCCTCCATGTTAACAGATGTGAACACATACAAACAGAGGACCTTTGTGTTTCTATTTCAACTCATTCAGGAGGCTCTTGTTACTCTGCCTTACAGGGATTAACAAAGAGCTGAATGTCTTTACTACAGAAGAGGAGTGAGTGTGAAGTTGTGTTGGCATTTGTTTTGTTTTGTTTTTTGTGGATTTTATGTGTCTGGAAAGATTTTCCTCATACTTTTTATACTTACATTATTATAACACAAAATCACAACAACAGAGTCTCAGGCTATTCAAAGTCTTTATTGAAACAAAAATGAGAAGTATGTAACCAATATGCTTAGGTCAAAGAGCATTCAACCTGCTGCAGGTCATATTGTTGGGCACAGAGAAAAGCAAGAGTTTGTCAGATGTATCACTTTCATGCTCTGTGCAGAGCCTAAGATTTCAGATTTTCAAGGATCAAATCATTATCTTCGTCAAGGTTCCATCCTTTCCGAGTATAGCACTGAATCCCTACAAGATTCAGGACAACCCTACAAGTTCTCCTTTAAAGAGGAAGTTGGGGGGAATTCAAAATCAACTTATAATGTTATCCTCTCATCAAAAACATACATAGAGTGTTGATTGTTTGAAAAAATATACCTACTTTATTTCTTGCAAAAATATAAAACAATTACAAAAAAATTCTTCCACCATAGTTGAGAACAAAAGTTAACTTAATGAGATATTGCAAGTTCAGAAAGTGTTAAAAAATGATCTTTCAAAAACCTCCTGTCATCACACTGGACTTTTGCCAAACAAAAGCATCTTCATCATACACTCATGTGTTCTTAATAACTTAAATAAACAGTTATCAAAGTGGTCCAAACATTTCCAAATATAAAAATTAATTTCAGTTTTTGATTCTCAACTAACTTAAGTATGTTCTAACTGCGCAAAGAACATTTCTGGAGGGAGTTGAGGATTGGAATAATGGCAAAGAAACCCTCTCCAGTCTGAATCCTTTGCATATTTGCTTTTGAAACATACTTCAATCAAAACAGATGTTGGTTAAATTAAAATACCTTGAAATCTAAATCTGCATGGTCCATAAGTAAACTTAACATGAACTGTACTGTATAAGGCCTGCTTATACTAGCTTTATTCATAATACACATTAATGTGTGTGAGATCCCACATGCCATCTTATCCCCAAACACTAAGAAGGAGGTGAATATGCTGAGACACACCTAATCTATTTTGGGTTTGCAGTCTACGATTGATGAGGCTTGACACAAAATTACCTGGTGGTAAATGGTGACATTCACTGTGCTTAACCAGCTGATTACATGTCCAAGTCAATGCTTTTATTAAATGGCCTTAGTTGGATTTATAAGAAAAGGTGCAGAGGAAGAATGTTGCCACTAAAGACACATTCAACTCTGTGTGCAGCTGCCTCACTAACCAATGGAATAAAAAGTGACCTTTACTTTAAAAAGCTGCTTAAATGTGTTAATGAGCACGTATTTTCCAAGTTCCTTTGCATGAAGAGTGGTATTGCCACCTCATTGCACCGCTTCTCTCTCTGACCTTTTGCTATTTTCCTGCAAAGCTTTTTTTAAGTTTATCATTCAGTTCTCCTTCGCCGCTCTTTGAAAGTTCCACCAGCCTTATTTCAGCTTAGAGATTTCTAGCTGGAAAAAATGTGAAATATGTGTTATTGCACAACAACTAACTTTAATAACTGTCATGAAAAGTAAACAAAATTTTTTCATCCAATTATTACAGAGGGTTGTTCTGGAAGAGAAACTTAAGTTTAAGTGTATTTTGTTATTTTGTCTTATTGATAATGTAAAACAGTATTTGGCTTTCAACTTGCCACATTACGGGCATAAACTTCAGCTCAAGGTTTGATTGTGGACCAACACAAAATAACATCTAAAGTTGAAGAAAAATTACAGATGGTTTTTCAATATTTTCAACAATTTTGGTCACTAGATGTGCAAGGCTAAGCTCCAATATAAATAAGTCAATGATTTATAAAATGTGCTGCATCACGTCAGTGAAACCTGGAGCGTCACTCGGCAGATCCTAACCATGCACTGCAGCTTAACTGAGTCTCTGAGGAACATCTTTGTGACTTGGCCTGTGAATGTAATTAAAGCTCTAATCTCTTTTCCTGGCTAACAGTGTCCCAATGTGATGACCTGAGAATCTCATCAAGACGTTGCTGAGTCACAGTTAATCTCAGCTGGCTCTTTCTGGTCACAACATGACATAAACATTACTAATGTAATAAGATGTACAATAAAGTAAAGTAAAAAAAAAAGTCCATTAAAGCTACAGACAGAATACATGTTCACATAATTTGCATGGCCTTTTGTAATGGATTTTTTTCTTTAACTATAAAATTACACCTTGTTCTTTCATCCATTTCATTCTCATGTGAAATAGAATTATAATTACAGTAACTTGAAAATAATTACAAGGTCGTCTTCTAATAACTATCTCCTGGTTTTGCTAAAGACGTCTTAAGTTTTCAATATCCTCATGAGGCGAAAGTAAATAACTGGGGAATTAACTGCACTGCCAAAAAGATGATAAACTCTGCTTTGAAAAAAACAAACAACCAAATACTGACTCTTCAGTATCTGATCAGCTGTTGAACATGTGTGTTAAATTTGTCTGAATGTGACTGTAAAAGCACGGTGGACAATCCCAGCTTTGTTTCCTCCATGGCGGCTTGACCCTGCCAGATTTGACCTGGTGTCTCAAACATCAGAGCGTCTGGTGTCAGAATTGCTCACACGTTACCTATGAAAACCCATTTGGTTCAAGAAAATCCATGAAGAGCACAGAACAGCTCAAATCAGGTCCCTACGGGATTCTTGGGTAAAGATTTGTCCTATTGTCCAACATTTCTGATTAATGGATGATGTTAATCCAAGATTTAAAAGAGGCATGAAGTTATCTCAAAAGTGGATTATATTACTATCTTAGGCTCTTAAAAATGTAATTATGAAATAAATGTGTTGTTTGAAACAATGTAATAATTAAATTTTTTTTTGTGAGTTGAATAATATTTAAGTTTTTCTTTTTTTTGCTTTGGTTTTGTTTAGGAAAAGAGGGTTAGCCACAAAAACTGTTAAAAAATGATTCGTTGTGAAAATAAAAATAAAAATCCTCGCATTACACTTTTAAGATTTTCCCCTTTTATGTATTTAAGTACTATGCATCTGAAATCTGTTAACCTACAGCAATTGAACCTGTTCTACACAAATGTATTTACTCTAATTCATCACATAACAAAACTATGATTAATATGTGCATGGGAAAATGGGCAAGAACAGGAGCATTATCTCAGGGTTCATGAGTCCACAGTTTACTGTCCTTAATTCAAATATAATCAAATTAGTGGAGGTCAAGCACAGGAAGTTGCCCAGAGAAGCAGACTCAAGCAGGGTGAAATGAAGAACATAAACAGTTTGTGGGGTTGTTATAATTCTACCAGAAGACATCAGAAAAACTAAAAATTACAAAAAAACAGAAACAAAACACAAAAACATGGAACTCTCAGTGAGCAAGATCAACCAAAATTAGTGACATAATTTCAGATATGTGTAAAGAAAAAATAAATGAAGGCAGGAAATGGAGCTTATGTTGTATGAGAGTCAGAAATGTGTATCTCCTGTTAAGAATCCCTTTGAACTTTCCCACATTTCATCACCTTACAGCCATAAATTTTGGTGAATGTGATACATTGACACAAGGTATTGCATAACAATAAAGTGGAAGAGGAATAATAGGCAGCTTTCAGACTTTTTCACAAATAAGAATCTGAAGAGTGTCTCCACCAGCTTTCATCGATAGCAGAAAAACAAAAACCCGCCGTCCACCTAAACTGACAGGCCATCAGTTAGATGGATGGTAGAAAATAAATTAAATAGCTCTGTCAAATGTTCACAGTTTGTGATGCTGTTTTCTTTTCAAGAACAAAGGCACACCATTGGTTAGATAAAGAAGTGATTAAGAGTGGTTGTCTCAGAGAGTAAGAACCATCCATACTTTAAATCGGCCTTGTTGAAATAGACTGGGATGAAAATGCTGCGCCTTGAAGAGCTCTCAAATTGAACAGCTGACAACGTGAAGGCCCCAGGATTAAAGGTCACCGACCTCCTTAATGAGTGTTGATAGACTCGTCTTAATAGGCCATCATGGTTCATGTCAACTGACACTAACAAAAACACAAACACCAAACTCCATTAAAGAACTTTATTACAGAGAAACAAATGGTTAATTTGCTGCTTTGTCACGCCACCTGTATTATCAAAGTTGTGGAGTTCTGACAACATTTATTTTCCATCCATATTCCCAAATGACTCACTGCATGAATGTAGAAGTGGGACGTTACAAATCTTTGAATCAGGTGAGGGGTCTTAGCCGCGGAGGTGGCTGAACTGTGGCTATTTTAAGGGGTCAGCCCTCCAGCATAATGTGTCATTTGTTTCCTCTGGTGCTGGAGGCCGCTCACAGAGGGGCAGAGGGATTTCATTTTCAGCACTGTAAATTTTGCGGCTTACAATTTTCACAATAAACAGTCTCTGTCTATAGTAAATATGCAACCTGACTCCTTAAAATCTGGTAATCTAGCTTTTTCCATGCGACCTTCTAAGGGAAGGTCAGAAAGAAAAGAACTGATGAACTTCCTAGATCTCAAATTGTTTTCATTCTGTCAAAACATATCTAGAAGAGCGTTGATCTAAATAATTGATCTAAATGCAAGTCTCAGAAATTGAATGTTGCATAATCTAAACTTTATCACTGATATTTGATACAAAATAATTAATGATCCTTAAACTTTTTCCACATTTTGTCACATTAAAGCATTAAACAATGGTGTATCTTATTAGAAGAAGGATGCAAGAACAGCATAATTATGAATCCAAATTTTACTTTTTGAAAGCAGGGAAGCTCACAAAACAGTCTTTTTACGTCTTACAGAGAAATGTTCAATCCATCTACAAAAAAATGGTAAAAGCTTGTGAAAGCAGCTAACTTAAGAAGTATTTAAACAGAAGAAGCAGCCAAGAGGCTCATTTTAACTCAGGAGTGTGTTTATAGGACAACTATTAGTTGTGTATTCCACAAAGCGAGCCTTTACAGAAGAGTGGTGAGAAGAAATCCGTTGTTTAATGAAATTTGTGTCATTTCTACCAGTCTTATAGAGGACAGAGCACAGACATTGAAATAAGTCATTGATTAAGATCAAAAAACCTTTTCAATAGCTTTTTGTCCAGTCTAACTTGACATGTTATTGTTATTAACTTTGTTTGATTTTATGTGAGTGTTTTAATGAGAGCACTTTTATTCTTGTTTTAGATCTTGATGTTCATTTTCTGCTTTGCCCTATTTTTGTGCAGCAAGCTTCTGTGTTTCAAATGTGCTTTATAAATAAAGTGGATTTGGAAACTATCAGTGCAGCATCATGCTGTGGGCGTGTTTTCCATCAGCAAATTCAGAGTTCGTGGAAAAGTTTACAAAATACAAGCCACTAAAGTTTTGACATGGGGGAGAAGCTAATTTTCTAAGCATGGTATTACTAAACACACAGCGGGAGTGACGATGGGATGGTTTACATGAAAGCGTAAATCATCCCATTAGACTTGTGCCATTAGTCTTGTCACTTGGGAATCTGTTGCAAGACCTGAACATTCATTTTCACAGATATTCTCTGTCCAATTTTGTAATGCAGAAAAAAGTTTTATTATAGATGTGCAAAGATGTTAAAGTCACAATAAAAAAAAAACGTATTTCAGCTTTTTGTAACAAAAGCCAAATAAAACAAAAGTTTCCAATAACGTCATAATTACGTCAATTTTAATTAATTTTTTTTTTTGTGAAATACTCTTAGGTATCTGGTTATGGACGAAATGTTTTCAGAAAAATACAAGGGGTATCAATGCTTTATGAGGGACTTACAAAGTATTTTTTTTAATTAAAAAAAAAAAGTTGAATAGTTTCGCATGAATTCTCGGTCTAATGTTGGTTTAGGCACAAGATAAGAAGTGTGACCCCCTTCCTCCTCCTGCCATGGCAACTCCAGAGTCGGAGGCGTCGGTGGGGGGGCGACATGGGAGGAGCTAAAGTCTAAAGTCCAGGTGGTCCAAAATGCGTAAAAACGCAGCGTAAAAAAATAAAAAAATAAAAAGAGGCAAAAACACTCGCGAAACACACCACCTCGCCGCAGCTCCCTGTTGCTGAGCTGATTTCAGAGGAGAGAGGCGGAAAAGTGCGGCTTTTGTATTTGCAGCGGGAGGAAGAGCCGAAACAATCGGGCGCGTTGCGGCGGTGCTGCGCTGCGACCAAAACCAGAAAAAAGAAAGAAAAACGGGCACTGCACGGAGCGGGGTAAACTTTTTCTCTGTTGTGCCGAATTCGACAGTTGCCTTACCTGGACATTTGTAGCCTTTCTCTCGTCTGCGACAGGTGGAGATATGTTCAAGAAAGCCAAGAGTAAAGTGCTGGTGGATTATGCGTCAGAGGAAGACGACATGTCCTGGCATTATCATCACTCCTACAAGGTAATGAAGCAGACGGAGAGGAAGCAGCGCTCTGAAAGCAGCCTCATTAACGCAACTGGTTCCTTTACAATAGCTCAACCAATTATGTTGGGGGATTTTAAAAATATATATTTTCATCTTTAGGTTTAAGAACATGTTCTGAATCTGAAGATCGTGTTTTGTTTTTGAACTTGGACGCGCAGAGCAGAGCAGAGCAGTCCTGGGTGCTTTGAGTCATGTCAGCTCAGGTCAGCTGAAGGTGCATTTTCACGAGCTGGACCCCTGCAATTTTCAAAGCATTTTAATTGGATGAACTGCAGGTGCTTCAGCAAAAATAATAATAACAAAAAATACGTTGAGATTCTGCGATCTGTCAGTTCAAAACAAGAACATTTTTTTAGTGTATTCAGTTAATTATTGTAAAATATATATATATTTTTATAGGATACCATGTTTACATATTTGGATTTAACCTATTACACTTAAACTGACCTGAGTTTTAAAATTCATGCTTTTTGGACAACTATTAGTTGTCCAACTATTAGTTTTTTGGACAACTATTAGTTGTCCAACTATTTTGGACAACTATTAGTTGTCCAAAAAGCATGAATTTTAGTTTGTTGGACATGGCGAATTGTCAAATATCAACATTTTTAAAAGTATAAAGATTCCAAACCATAACAACTTTCCATCATATACTCCTACAGAAGTCCTCTAAATGTGACGGTAATGTGGTAAATGTGACATAAAGTAAGTTTCTCAGTCTGTGTGGAGCATTCATTGAGACCAGCCTTTCCCCCACCTGTTTCTGCGCAGTTAAAAGAAGTGTCACTTCTTCCTTGGTGGCAGAAAATACAACTTCAGCTTTTTATTGATGTTTATGTTTCAAAGGAGCATAAGACAACACTTTCATTAGCATAAAACTGTCTTAAAAGTAGAATTTACAAGCTGCCAGCGGGTTTTGCTGGTCATGATGTCCTATTGTGAGTGGGGGAAGTAAAGTATCTCCAAAGAGGGAAAAGGGATGGCTCATAAAATACCATAAACACAGCTAAGAGGCTTGTGTGTTTTTAACTCACTGTTGCTGATGACATCAGGAGGCATTTTTCTTTGTTGCCTCTGGTGATTTTTTAAAATTCTTTTTGGGAAGCATCTGAAAAGTCACTAAAGACAAGACAAAGTTGCTAAGTTGTCAACGCTGGCTGATGTTTGCTGGCTTTGATGTTAACCTTCGGTTGGCTGGTTAACATTCAGTCTGTCTTAATAAGCACGAGACAGCTTCTCACTCTTGCTTGTGGCTTAATAAGATTGATATTCTTATTCATTCTTGTAGCGCCAGAAAGCCAGAGAAAACTCTTGAGTGGTCACTCTTTCCCCTGCCTCATGTTTTAACGGTTTTAAGCTGCAGGATTGGGATAATGGAAGTTTTTTAAAGTTTTGAAATTCCTTTCCAGACTGTGTGTTACCTTTTCACCTTTAACACTGAGTTTACCTGACAGCATAAACTAGGATTTGTATTGAAGATATAACCCGGCCGTTTATGTTTGTTGTTGGCTGGTTGGATATTTCAAGCCTGTTTTTCTTGTTGTGTATATGTGTTGTGATCATGTCCATGTATCCCAGATGAGCCGCAGTCGCATGTTTCTGAGGTCCAAAAAGTCTCTGTATCTGCATTAATCAGCAGCTAGGCTCTGTCTTTTTCTTTTTTAAGGAGGTGATCACGAAGCACACACAAAATACTCCACACCTAAAAAGGAGGACAGGCCTCCAACAGTCCTGGCACATAGAAAAAAAACAAAGATGATATGTTTATCTTGTGGGAGTCTTGTGTATGTAATTTATATGTATTTTTATCTGGTGGAATTTGAAATCGACTTGAATAAAAATGTGATATTCTTAGGCGCACACTTCTAGCTAGCATTCCAGTTTCAGAAAGGAGGTCGCAGGTCATTTTCCAGTTTGCTGTCTCTCGATAGATTAATCTGTGAAACTTTTTTCTTGGATTAGTTTGCGTCATAACAGTCAAAATAATGTGAACTCTTATCTAATCAACTTTGTGATATAAAAATTGGCATAAATAATGCAAAAAGTCAACATTTTTAAGTAATCTCAGAAAAAAACTGAGTAATATCAAAGTGTTAACGGTTTCTAAAATGTAAATCTGACATTTGCTATGTTAATAATCATTCATCGTTAATTTTTTTCCTCAATCTTTCCTTCATCCAGCAAAGATGGAGACAAGTATTTATTATATTGTGGGCAACTGCATCATGATTTATCGTCATTTTTCAGCTCTTGCTGTGCTAATGTCAACATTTAAGTCCCTTGAATGAACTTTATTGAACTTCCATCCTGGGAACGAACACATGCGTCCCTCACTTGTGACGTTCGTCCCCGATTTCAGTTTGTCCTGTGATCATTAGATTGCCTGTGAGCAGCAGTTCTGAGATCAGAGTTAGAGTCAACTCTGACTATGATGTCCTGGGAAAGTCATCAGGGAGGTCTCCTGGAGTCACCATGGCAGTAAAGTATGTCCGAGGGGTCAAGAGGTTGGATTGTAAAATGTCATAAACACAGCGGAGAGGCGAGCACCAACCCTGCCAGGGATACAGGATGAGGACAGGATGGAAGTTATGATAACACAGTCTGGAAACACAGTGTTTTTCCTTCCACTTATTCAAATGAGGAAGCTGTGGGCACAAATACAAGACTCAGAAGAAGTTTTGAATATTTATTTTTTTCTGTTCTGTAAATTATTGAAATGGATCACAACTCAAATATGTTGAACAACAACAAAATTCACAATAAGAGGTTAATTATAAAAGGATTCTACATTTTGATAATTTAGTAAATAATCATTACTGCAACAAAAATACTCTTTAACATTTGAATGAAATAAAGCTGGTTTAGGGATCGGATATGTAAGGCATGAAAAAAGATGGACATGCATATTAGTGTTGAAAAACAAGAAAGTTAGATGTCTTAATGATTTTTTTAGAATGTAATTGGCACTGTAGAACAGAAAAGTATGACAACAACATGTTGGATTTCTCAAAATATCTCTATCTACATCTTGTGTAAGATGAGAAAACTTTAGCTCAGTGTATTGATATGATCAAAAACCAACTGTCCAAAACTGGTATGGAGGTCAGATGTGGGGTTAAAGTAACCCAAGACATTTTTTTTATTTTTTAAGTTGCAGATTCTGGAAACCTTGCAGCCATCAACTCTGACTTCATTAATTGGCTAGTAGAGGTTCCTGATTTCAACAGAAGCATATATTTATTTATGGTAGAAGTGGTCACCTTTCTTATGTAGTTTATTAATAATCTCTTAGGGTTATGTTAAAACAGTCTCAGGTATTAATTTTGGAACAGATGGCTTTTTTTAGATCAAAACTGAACATTGGTGGCAGACAGGTTCAGACAATGTGTAAAGGAATGAAACACCCTAAGATGGAGAGCAAGAAGGAAGATAAAAGGTAAAGTGATAATAAAACACAGACTAAAGACACTATCATTCTCCTCCTGCCTCCATCCCGCTCTGGGCCATCTGCACAGCCTCTGCCTGTTTTTCTCCTTCATCGCTTCACTATTGAAGTTCAGCTGTAAACCTGAAGGAGGGAATATTTGCCTTTAGCTTAAAGCTCATCGCACCTGAATACTGAGTGAACGCCTCTGTGATTCTATCACAGATCACGAAAGCTTACCATGGAACTGAACTGAACTTAAAGACAACCTCTTATCTGAAGCATTAGGCTTTGAAGGAGGAAAACAGAAGATTAAATAAAGTTAATCTTTTGATGAAGGGAAGAGGGTTTAAGTTAAATGAGGATTTGTCTCATCTCCTAAATTCAAGTTAATCTTTTCAAAATTCTAAATATATTTTGGTGTTGAGGGAAATAAGCTTATGGCATTTAAATGGAGGACTCTGTAACTTTGTTTGCTTACACAATCATAGATACTAACAATACCAATATTCTAATAGTAAATTAATGTGACAACAGGGAACTAAAATGGTATGCAAAAAGTGAATGTATCTACACCAGCATATCTCTTTAGGAAAGAAATGAGAAAGCTATGCAAAATACTTTTGAACTTATCAATAATTTGCTTGGTTCTGTGATAGAGGATGTCAAACCATGAAAGTAAAGAAAGATGTACCTTTTGATAGATATTTATAATATATGGCTGGCTTGAACACAGGCACAGGCTGTGGGCTTTTCCCCTGAAAAATAAATAATGTTATCTAAGTTGACTTTTTCTGGTCAGTCTTGGTGTTGCTGAGTGTTGACCTGATTAGTTTAATTCAATAAAAAGGCCTTAGTGATACATATACAAAGCTCTTTGTTTGGGTCAGTAAGCCTCTTGTAGCTATGCAGACTTCTTCCTTCTAGGTGTATTGAATCTGTAACCAGGTGCCTAAATAGTGGTGTGTTTCCAAAATGTTGAACTAGTCAACACTGTGGTGCAGTGATGGTGAAACTCTTTTTGTGCCCAGAATGTGAAGCATTCAAGAACTGTCAGTAAATACTTTTTGTGTTTGTGTGTGTTGATTGTACAAGTGTGTCTTTGTGGCCTTTCGAAACATGAAAGCAAAACATTAAGATAAAATGAATGTTAATTTCTCCTTGATAAACAATAAACAAACTTCTGTTGATTCTTGTTAGGGATATTTAACATCATACTCCCACCTCCTCCTTCTCCCTCATTTTAAAGTTGCTAATGTCTCTAGGCTTTAACCATAATCTGTAATCAGTGTGTGTGTTTTCTTTGATCAGCTTCTGTGGCACACACTCAAAAGACCTTGTTCAGACTTGTGCAGCCATCGTTATTCCTCCTTCTCTGCCTCTGAGTTCTTAGATGTTAGATGATTTTGGGGTTTAGACTCTTTTTGAAGAAGTTCTGGCTTTGCTTTAAGAGACTCAATACTTATCTGCACATTTGATGCTTTCGGACTGCCTGCCTTTTATCATTTACTGTCTCTTAATGCCTTGGGTGAGTTTCTAAACCAGATTTGTCTTCAAGCACAGTTAAAATCACAGTTGTGTTTCATTTATTTTGTATATGTACATCTTATTAGCATTGTTCATTGGAGAACTACTAGAAAAAAACTGGAGCAGTTGCAGAGATTTAGGCTAATTGTTGTAGAAATAGTGTCTAAAAGGCTAGAACCAATGTAAAGTGTCAATAAAATAAAACGATTTGTGAAATGTAAACAATTTTAGTTATTTAAACAGAAAAATGGAACATCACTGGTCAGATTTAGGAAATAATTTTCTCTTTAGGGCTGTGAGTCCAACACCTTGCCACTGCCTGACTGTCTTTTTGTTTTTAGAACAACGCTTCAGTTTTTGTAGCATAATTTCAACAAGGTTTCAGGAACATTCATCAGGGATTAGGTCCATATTGGCATCTGTCTTGTGTCCCAAAGGTGCTCAGTTGGATTGAGAGCTGGTGGCTCTGGAGGCAGTTGGAGAACAATGAACTCATTGTCATGTGCAGGAAGCAAGTTTAAGATGATTTGAATTTTGTGATATGTTGCTTAGTGAACCAACAGAGCAAAAGTGCGGCAAGAAAATATGCCCATACCATTAGACAACCAGCAGCAGGCTCAACCATTAACATCATGCCATAGTGCCACACACTTGATGCAGTTCTTTTCTTCAATGCACTTTACTTTGCATTGATTTGTAGATATTCATCATGAACTGTTTTAACAGACAAGACATTGGAACTTTTAATAAGTCTGAACAGTGAAATGAAAACACTAGACATTCAAAGATCGGGTAAAAAGGGAAAATTAGTTTGAGTTATCAAACACAATTGAACCAAAATAATCCTCAAATCCCAACAGTGCAGCATACATGCCCAAGGTGAAGGTTTGTTTTCTTTGTCCTTTGTTTAAATCTGCCCTTGGAGCTCGGTGGTTTCCTCGTATCCTCCCCACTCCTCCAGCCGTGCCGCCATCTAGCCCTCTGAAAACTGTGTTTATCTTCCAACAGTTGCCCTCCCTTTCACAGGAAAATATGCACACACTCCTAAAACAAACACATACACCATGGTTGCAGCGTAAAGTAAATGGCATAAGCTGGTTTGTTGAGTGTCTGTTGGTGTTTTGTCTGATTGTGTTTCCCTGTGTGTGTTGCAGGACAAAGACCTGGGAGAGGAAGAGGAGGAGGACGCTGGCACTGCGATAGCCAAGGTACATGACAACATCACAGCTGCTTGCACGTTGCAACGATGAAAACACGCTATCAGCTGCCAAACATGCATGCAGTTCAAACTGTTTTAGCTTTGACAGATGGTCCTCAAAGATATGGACAAAACGTTTGGTTATTTATCTCTTCACACACATCCCTGCAGCATCACCAGCAGACACAATCTTACGTTGCCAAAAAGATCCCAAGTTTTAAAATCACATCAGGGCTTGTAAATTCATAATGTCTAAACTGGGTCAGACAGTCTTTTCTGAGGAGAGGTTACGCTGTCCCACAGAGTTAAGGCTGCAGGGCGAGAGAACTGCTGAGGCTGCAGTGTTTCTCTGTAAACAAACCAGCTATCGTCCCTATCTTTGCATATTGTGCTGTTGTTCTTTACCTCTGGCAAACATGTTGTCATAGGTGATGTCATTTATGTTATTCGCTGGATCTTTTAACATTGCTGCTATTTTTAATCACCTTAAAAACAGCAGCAACAGCAACACTGTATACAGTGTTCTCACATTATAGTTCACATTATAATGTGAATGTGAACACTGTGTACAGTGTTCTCATATTAGTACTTATTTAGGGTACTAAAGTTATCAATGTCCATATTACTGTGTGATTACAAGCTAGAGATATTAATGGTTCTTACACACAGTTAAAACAGATTTTTACACACTTGATATCCAGCTTTAGGTCTGTTAGGATCACTAAAATTATTTCTGTTTGCTAAATGCCAGACATAATCTGACTTTCTTTAGGTGATTTTTTTTCTTCTTCAAATTCAAAAAACAACAATAGCTTGCTGGAGCTTTGGTCCATTCCTTCTGACTCCACTAGTGGTACCTTTTCAGAGCTGCTGCAGTGTTGCTGATGTTGCTCTCTATTTTGTGAAGTGAATGGCCAGACATTTTTATTTCAGTTTCATGAGATCCCCAGAAAATAAGCTATTTTTCTCTGAGTTTTTTCCGCACTGGGATCTGCCTTTTTTGATGCTTTTGAAATAATGGCTTCTTCATTGCATGTCATTTCATCTCATGTCCATATAAAACTTGTTTCACTGGAAATAATGACTCTTTCTCCCCACCTTTTTGGTCTTTAGTGCAATGAGTCGAAGAACAAATGATCTCTGAACATTTCTAATGAAGCATTGACCGGTTTGTTTTGCAGTGACGGAACAACACAAGACAGGGAATAAAAGAAAGGACATATCTTAGGAAGCAAAGTAGCACACAAGGAACTAAGAAGGAAGTAAAAAGGAAAGACAACTTATAGACAATTGGATAATAAGTAAATTCTGCAAAGATTATAGTGGTCCATACTGTTCGTTTCATTTTCTAAACATATCCAGACTGGGAAAATACTGGGCTTGAGATTCCAGACTTTTCCAGCTGCATAGGAGCCCCAATTTCATCCTCGTGCCACTTAAATGTTTTATTTCTGATGCGTTTTGACAACACGTCGGCCTCTCTCTGAGCAGGTGATTGTCTCTCATCGCCCAGTTCATGAGAGATGTGTATCATCTCATATTCTGTGCTGACAGCGAGTCCTCATCCAGAGGGGTGGTTGTCTGCATGTGTGAAGATTGACTGCAAGTCAAACACAGGGTGCCGTGTTGTCTCTGAACTCTGGCCTGCTGCCGCATTTTACCTCCAGCTCCTAAGTGCAACCCTCGTTGGAAGCACATATTTGATGATGTGTCCTGTTGGTGAGGTGGAGGGGGGTATTTGGCCGGAGAAGGGAAGGAAATGCAGCATTCTTTTGAGGAGCGGTGTTTTTTTTGGACTGGAACAATTGCTGCAGAGGAAAAACAAAGCTGAAAATAGCCACCGGCTGCTTGGTTGGTGTGAATGGCTATCACTCTTAAATGCTTAGTTGTTTCATGCTCACACTAGGACAGAGAAAGTGGTCATGGAGTCCTGGAAGAGTTTGTGGGTTAAAAGATAGTGCTTACAATATAATTATTTGGGCTTTTGTCCAAAAAGGGTTTCAAAATAGTGACTTTTTTACTGACAAAAAATCTACACAGTGGCAACATTTGTCTCAACGATTGATGTCTTGCAAATATTTTTACCTATTGAAGTTTTTCACATATTGTCACTTCACAACCACCAACGTTTTGGATATTGAAGTATTCTCTTTTTAATTTAAGAAATGAGTGGTCCACGGCTGAAGTCTTATGGATGTCTCTACTCACGTCGTTCTTCCAGAGAGTGAAGTTTTTGCCTCTTTGCAACAGAGCTTCAGATCAGTCATCCTGGATGGAGAGCATTAATCTACATCAGTTGTCTTTCAAGTCTGGCAACAGATTGTCAGAGTTTGACACCTGAAATGGCTTTTATCTAAGCCATTAGATAATAGCTGTGGCTCTGGGGATATGTTTATAGTCTTTTAATTTGTCATAACGTAAATCTTAAGTCTTTTCAAGTCGTGACACTATGGTTTGCTCACCGTACAGTGTTCCAGATATTGTTGTGATAAATGATAAAATTGTTGTTCTGAAACCATTTCTAAGTAATATATTTGTAATGGCATAAAAATAATATACGTTTTTTTCCGCACTGGGAAAGAATAATAAACCTTAATTTTGTACAGAACACTCCACCCTGGAATTGGAAGACATTTTAGATTTCCAAAATAATCATAACCACTAAAAAAGAGAAATAAAAGGAATTAAAAACCACAAACAGCTGAAACCATAAACAAAATGGATTATTATGTCTCTGTAAACAAAATTGCCCTTAAATTATTAATCATCAGAATGTAAATTATCAAGCTCATTTTAATTTATCCTGCTATGAGCTGATTAATTGCTTTTTGTGACAGGTTTAGCTCCATTCACATAAATTTTAACAAAATACATTAGTTATGGTTTGAACTTAATAAAATATCAAATGAGGAATATTTTAGCAAGGCACAAAAGCTGCAGTATTTTTAATGGTGTTTTCTCTGCATTTTTAGTGCATTAAATTCACAATGTCAGTCGTAGTGTATTCTAAAATGTCAAGTTTTAAATAATGGCAGAAGAACATTCCTTAGCACTAATTGCAAGTACAAAGAACTAATTATGCATGAGTAGTTCATGCGTCATTATGTACGCATGAACATACTAATCTGTGATGATTATTGTCTTCAAATTCGGCGTTTCTAGATATGCTACGGAGAAAATATTTCGATTGATAAGGTATCAGTTCTGAAATATTGTTTCACTGAGTCCCAAAATCCAAATGCTGATTTGCAAAACCAAAAATAAATACATCTACAGTTGTTTGACTCATATCTTAAAAAATAAAATTGAGTATTTTAAAAATGCGTAATCTCTCCCTCAGCTTTCATGTCGCAAATCTGATAAATGAAAGCTGGATTGTTTGTGGAGCTGCAGGTAATTCTCCCTTTCGCCCACAGCAAGTCAAGGAGCTCCTTTCGGCCGGCGAGATGGACAGAGAATTGTTTAGCCGCTGTATGTGCAAGCATGCGAGTGGAATTCAGCTACACACACATTCACGTCCAATAAGAAGGAACCCCTGTGGTTTTGGCATATCTGGTTCCTTTGCTTCAGAGCTCAAACTGCTGAAGAGAAGCTTCATTTTACTGAAGAAACAAGCCGGTGCGAAACGATAGAGGCAGGACAGAAACCTGCTCCTGAAGGAACTTAGAGGAAGAGGTTATATATTTATTTCAGGATATTCTAATGAGAGAATTGTACTTGTTTCTTCATTTATCAACAAGAAGAACATGAGCAGAATCGTCTGTTCTCGGATGAGCTGAGCAAATGCTAAACATGCAGGGCCTGTTTACTGGTGGACGTTTGTTTAATCTTAGCTGCAGCATTCTGAAGCCTTATCCGGTGACAGATCTGATTGAAGGTGTCCCTGTACGGTTTGAGGAAAGAATGCGTTCATGGACAAACAAGCCGCTCGCTTGTTGTAGCAGCTGAGGCAACTTCCTGTCCAGAACATGAACGGATCTACATTGTGCACCTTGTTTAGAGTTTTAACCTGACCTCAGAATAAAGAAACAACAGAAGTGGTTTAAAGAGGTCAAACCCATTAATCAAATACTCCTTTCTGCATTGAGGGAGCAGGCCGAGACCAGGGCGAGACCTTGACAGCTGAGATTAGGAGTTCTCCGTTGGCAAGAAAGGAAGTCAAAACTTTGCTTCATCTTTGCTGATACGGAATGTATGAAACGCAGGAAGGAATTCTGATGCGAAGTAGATCAGGAGTTTTCTCCCACTCAAAAGCTCCAAGTATTTTCCAGAATATGAGCAACTGTCAGGCTGAACGAATGGTTCTTCCTTGCATTCCTATCATGTTTTAACTGTGACACATCTTTCTGCAGGGAGGGTAAATCAAGCAAAATAAGGCAATAGCAACAACTAACATAGGGTTGTAAATGTTTTCTTTAGCTGTGATATTTAAAATCAAATCTCCTTTTTTATCGCTGTTGTTTTTTTTTTTATCAGGAGGCAAAGGTGAAAAAGATGATGTCAAAGAAGGAGAGGAAGGAGAAAAAGATGCTGTCCTCCAAGGATGACGAGCATCTGTTGCTGTCCGGGGTGAAGGTGACGGAGCGCAAAGTGTGAGTTTGCACTTGTAATTTCTTAATTATGACAAACTGAATAAACGTCAATAACATTTTCATGGCAGATCTCTTATTTGTACTTTTTCTTTTCTGTCATTTTTGACAAATAGTTTCACAGCATTCTTAAAGGTCTTCTGCAGTCAGTTTGATTTTTAGCACTCTTTTTTCTTCAACCAACCGGGACAGAATAAACTGCAGTTTTAAAACTTTAGGAAGGAGGGCAGAAAGAAAAAAAATAATGTTTTTTTTTACAATTAAGATGAAACCTCTACATAAACCTCTGTCAGAATCATTCAGCTAATCATAAAAAATGTATTCAGGATATTGCCAGTATATCAGTCATTACTACTCAAGTGTATTTACAGTTTCAACTTGAAAAAGCAGTCACACCCTTGGATGTGTTTATATGTAAGTCTTTACAAGACGTTATCTTTCAGACCTGCTGAGGAAGTGGAACATGTATGAACAGGAAGACCTTTATTAATGACCTTGTTTTGACAAACATAAAGGAATTTCTTATAATGGCCCAGTGTGTGGGGAACACTCCGGTCTCCAGTGTTGAAATCTCCGATAAACACCAGTTCCTTGAGTCAGTCGCTTCTGTTTATGGTGACAATTCAGGCGGTCCACAAAGTTCCCTCTGACTTCACGTTTTGACCTCTCTCCCTTTCTCTGTTTCTTCAAAGGTCCAACAAAAAGCTCAAGGAAGGTGAGAAGGAGAAGAAGGACAAGCCAGAGAAGGGGCACTGTTTCTGGGACAGTGTTACGATGACGATGAGGCAAATCTCGCCTGCCAAAAAACTGGAGAAGATGGAGGGCTGGGAGCCTCCACAGTTGGCGATTGTTTCTGAGATTGTGCCTGACGAAGCCCTCATTGAGAATGGTCAGAACAGGGAGTCGGCATTGTCCCTTCCTCCCGACTCCTTAAGCGTTCCCTTGGAAATTCCTTCGTGGGGTGGCCAGGGGTTTGAGGAGGACTCCTCTCGCTATGCCAACCTGACGGACTCCAATGACCCAGCAGCTGCAGTGAGGTGGACGTCCCGTGCCAAGGTCAAGCTGGCTGGCATCAGCAGAATGAGCAGAGGGATTGCGTCAGAGAGCCCATGGGCAGGATTTAAACAGTAGCATTGTTTTGCTCAGTAGACAATCTGTACCAGATTTCTGCCTCTTTCTAATCTAACTCCAGAAGGAAAAAGCAATGCTAGAGACTGTCACAAAAGAAAATTAAAGAGGCAGTGCCTTAAATTGCTCTACCAGTAGTGGCCAGTAGATGCCAGGATTTCTTATTCTCCTACTTTTGTCTATTGAGAGCATTAAAGGGCATACAGTGGGCCCCTCACCCCTATCCCCAGAATTCAAGGGTGTTTTCTGCCAGCAAATACTCATAAACACTTATAACTGCCTTTTTTTAACAGTTCAAACACAAAATATACCTTAACATGCATTAATGTGCACAGTGGAAACCATCCTAGCACTACCACAGAGGCCAACAGCTACAGTTTTCAGCAAATACTGAACAACAAATAGTTGGGGGTCCACTGTGTGTCATAATTTTTTACAACTTTTCCTTTTTAATTTTGTTCGCGTCTGTATGTGATGAAAGTTATTTCCATGTCTGAAGTCAGAAGTAAGTAATTAAAAGCAGTGAAAATAAAGAATGCACATACATCTGGAGGGTCATCATCCAGATGTTGGACTGGCTGTCTGTTGTAGAGAAGTATAGCTTCAAAAGTTGTTTTGTGTCAGAAAATGCTTAAAAATAACAATAGAAATCCAAGCTGTGATTTATTTGTAGGTCTTCTGTTTCTTTAATGTGGTATTGTCCTTCAACTTTTCCCCAAAATGGTAAGTTAATTTTACTACAAGACATTTTAGTCATTAATTGCTTTATTCATTCATTTTGAGCAGTGAGGTGTTGGTTCTTCAAGAGGGACATGATGGTTACAGCAAAAAGAAAAAAAAAAAACTTAGCTAGCAATCTGTTGTTATTGGCATCATATTGCCAGGAAGCTACTCTAATCCTTATATAATACATGTAAGGTTTTTAGGTTTGAGGTAAATGATTTTTTTTTTTTAAAGTCTTTTGTTTGTGAATCACTATCAAATGCTAAATCTGTTGAAATGAAAGCCTTAATCTATTGTAAATTTTCCATTTTCATTTCTGGAATGCGTAATTTTTGCCAGCAAGCGAGAAGATCATTTCTCGCTCCAATGAGACAATCAAATATTATGCAAGCTTGTTGTACTACTGAGAGTTTCTGTAGCTAGTTTTTACACCCTTTCTTTACAAATACAGCATCCTGGAACTGTCTGAAGCCTTAATTTAAAAGCTCAGAAATGGGTTGTGCAATCATAAAAAAAAAAAAAAAACATATTTTGAAACAACAGTGTGTGTATGTGTGTGTCTTTGAAGTTAAGCAAATCAATAACCATGTCAAAGGTGGTTGGATATGTTTTCTCATCTCAAGTTCTGGAGCTGTATTAGAGGTAGAGGTCACACCACTAGTGATTACGCAATGTTCCCTCACAGTATGGATAAAGTTGTTCACCCTTCTTTCCTCCTTGTGTCATGTCTTTATTTCTTCATCATCTGCTCTTCCCTCTTTTGCTCATATTCATTTCTTACCCATCTCTCACTTCTATCCTTCATTTGGCGCACTCATGACCTGTCAATCCTTGTGTGTTCTTTCCTTTCTAGGGTCCTTTGTTCTTTACTGAAGGTTTTTCTTGGTGCTTTATTAAAATGATCATAGAACATCCTTTCAGTCCTTAATAAAAAGAACAACAGTTAAGTCTTGCAAATTTGGTAAATCACACTTGATCCCACAACTGAGTAAAGAACAGTGTCATATTTCACTTGAATATTTGGGAAAATATACAAAGCTCAACAAAGTTAAAATGCAAACTAACATTAATTCAACTTAAACGTGCCTACATAGAATATAAATATTATACATTTGCTTTGAGTTTCAACACAATGGACTGACTTCAAGGACAAATGTGGTAGAAAATTAAGTTCAGAATTATTCATTTCATTCTTAAGATGTTTAAACAACTTACACTCCCTGTGATGCCTTCAGTATATATTCAATAAAAGTGCTGGGTCATGTTTCTTGTCTGACATGCATCCTGATACATTTTTTGTTACATGAACATGAAGTTTACCAAGTTGATCATTCTTTGCAGGAAAATCTTAATTTAAAAAAAAAAATCTTTCCACATGTAAAAAAAAAAAAGTATATAAACCTTCCATCGCCAGTCCATGCCATGTATACTTTTGTCAAAATCAATTAGAGAATAATCCAAACTATAAAACCTCAGTACATCTGCACCAAACCAGAGGAAGGAAAAATTGAAACCCAAGCAATTTTTAGAAATAACTTTAATTCATATCTAGTTGCCACACTGTAAAAATCACAACAGTACCTTCAACAGTATGGATTGGTAAAGGGAAGTTACAAAAGTTGGAAGAAAATTACAAAAGTCTTTTCCTTCTTAAAACAGTCATTTATATATTTCGGTTTGCCACATCAGATGCCTAACAGCAGTAGAAAACGTGCAACACAGCTTACATTGACTAACAAAGGACAGACGGTTTGTAAACGGAGTCAAATATGACAAACGAGCTGCTATTGTATAAAAAAGCCACTAGAAACAAACAGATTGGGATGCAATTACACCTCACTGATTAAATACCAGACATTTTTTTTAGCGCTCTGTACATCTTTACACAACCAATCAATTAATATTAAGCTACCAACATCAGGCTGAAACATGTTTTACACAAGAAATTCTGTCATTATATATTTTTTCCTTTTGTATATGTACATAATGTAATTCCCACGGTAGAGAGAAGCCTTTTTCTGTCTTCAAAACCAACATCTGTGCTGAAACACGAAATATATTTTAAGGTTTTGAACTAACAAAACAAACAAAAAAATAATAAAATACACCCACCTGTATCCTTTCTGTTTGGAAATACTTGTGCGATGAAATAGTTTTTTATTTTTATACAATTTAAGCCCTTTTTTATTTGGGTAAACAACAACGAGGTGTTTAAAAAACACACACACTCAAAGAGAGTAACGAACGTTGCGTTGAAGAACAACGTTGAATGTTTAAAATTTGAAGAGGTCGATAAAGTGCTGCGGAGAAATGGGCATCAGGCAGCTGTCCGGATCATTGGCGGTGCAAGGGTGGCCAAAGTCCTGAGGAACAGTCAACAAGGAGAATGTGAGACGGACAGGTAACCAGGAAAGAAGGTAATCGCAATGCACACATTCATTAAAAATAGGTTCACTCAACTGTTGTACACAATTAATTAGTTTTTACAGCGGCATCAATAACATTTTTCATAATTGTAAGGGTACATTTCATGTTTTTAATGCACTCCAGGAGTGCAGTAAAAAACTTCAAGAAATTTCTTTTTTTTTGTCAACAAATATTAAAATTCGTAAACTTCTTTCCTACTTCACCACAAAACCACCTAAATTAAGTTAAGAGGCCACTTAACCACATCTAAATCAGTTGGATCTGGTGGGGAAATGATTTAAATAATAGCAAGCCTATGTTACTGTATTGATTGTTGGTACAAAAGCCTACAATTTATTTATTGAAGAAAATGAAACAATCTTTTAAAACAGCATAATATTCAGAAATTCTCTTGATAGTTTTTGCTGCAGAAAAAAAGATAATTTTGTGCAAATATACAAAAAGGCATCAGTCTTTCCAGAAATAATACAATTGTTTTATTTATATCATAAAATATGATTTGATTTGAAGCTAATCAAATAGTATTCAGCAATAAATTAAATAAATGCAGTGGTGGAGATAGAATTAGTTACGGTAAACCAAATTTTGACATTGGCATGCAGACACAAACATTTATCTCGGTATTTATGTTAGATTAGAAGGCAACTGACAGCTTTTTAAAACTGAGATCTAACCAAAACAAGTTGGTAAAGTGTAAACATAAGAACACAATGAAAAGACCGCCGTTTACTGAACACTTCTGAAAAACAAGATGACATCAAGAGAAACCTGGAACATCACGCAAAAAAAGCTCCACTCGTGAAAACAGATAAATCATGATATGATCGACAGAGGACAGAACAGGCAGAACAAATGCATGATGGGACACGAAGTACCTTGAGGAACAAAGCCACATGCCAATCCTTAAGGAGTCAGGGAGAAGGGGAACCAGGAGAAGAGGCAGGAAGGAAGGATGGCAAGCAAGGGAAAGGATGCAGAGAAGGAAGAAGTTAAACTATACAGGGAGCAGTTGATGAATAAAGTTACAACTGCTCCAAAGAAGGAAACGATCCGATTCAGTGTTATTGTTCCTTCTAAGTACTGTTCTGTAGAAGAAGAAATATTTCCCAAGTAATTTCACTTGAACTGCAGAAAAAATAAATCCATCAGCCTGGGGGCAGAGGGTTCGAAAATAATTGTTTGAAAATAAGATATTTCTGCACGTGAGAACACTAGTTCACGAAATCCATTACTCTAATGACTAACAAGGATTAGGATTATTAGCAGAGCTCACATGTGCCGATGTTTGTGATTCACTTCATCACACAAACATCAAAAACAACATTATTATGGACGCTTAAAAGCAACACAGAATTTCTTCCTTCTACTTTTGAAGATAAAATATTTGAACTTTTGAACCCGAAGGTCGGTCTTTGGAGATTTCCAGTGAAAACAAACAGTTGTACAGATTTTCACCTCGGTTTTATCTTGAGAAAACATAAGACCAAGACCTTTGGTAAAGAGCTGAGACAAAAAAATAATAACTTGATTCACACACATACTTAAAATCTGTATTTTAAACACCACAGGCTTAGTTTATTCTGACCACAAATTCCATCTGTGCAGTATAAACAAATTCAAAACAGTCCTGTCCAATATACTGTCCAGCTTGAATTATTGTGATACATTACGTTTCAAGTAGTGTTTGAACTATTGTCAAAAAGTGTAAAACACAGAATAACCAGTATGATAGCATGATCAAAATGTCTAGGTTTAAACTACTTACATCATTTGTTTAATATCTGTTTTAATTTTTGTCAACAAATTAAAACAAAAGTCAAAAGGGAAAATTTACTTAAAATACACTCTATTTTGTTTTTATTTCAGAAAATATAAGGAATGAGGACTGAGTTAATGATGCTTAAAAAAAAGGTCAAATTGATCAATTATGTGTTTTCAGTAAGAAAACACTCATAAAAACCCAATCCCCGAGATAAGGCAGATACAGATGGGCTGCTTGTCTTGTTTACCTTCCAGAAGAGGATGCTACAGTGTTTGCAGAAGTGCAATGTGTCGCCGTACTGCTCCTTCATGGGGTAATGCTTCTGCAGGGTGAAGTACATCAGCTTCCAGTCCACATTGTCACTCCTGGTTAGACCCAAATTCCTACAAAACTGCGTATGAGCAGTGGAAGCCCATAAGCAGAACAGGAAGCATGGAGCAAACATTTAATATCACAGGAAATCAATGCGTAATATAACTGGAGCAACTCACAACTAACACCAAGCTTTATGTGGTGCTTCTTTTTCAGAACAAGTGTATTTCCCACTTGCTCTGTGTATTTCTGCTGCACAACTTACTCTGATGTGCAGCAGAGTAAGTTTAATTTTGTTAGCACGCCCTCTAGTGGCTAACATGGAAATTGCATGCTTTATAAACATCACAGCAACTTAGCTCAAGCAATTAAACGTCAAATTCCAACTTCAAATTTGGTGACATAAACATGTAACTTCCTCACCGGTTTGTCTGAGAAGTGAAACTGACAGAGTTTCTTCCATAGCGTCCTGTTCTCACTGAGGATGTGCATCGTAGGCGTGGCCTGACCCAGGTTGATGATGTCACAGGCGTCAGATAACTTACAGAGGATTTTGTTCTGCATGTGCAGCGGCAGGTCGTTGAAAGACATCCCCGTGTACAATTGCTATGGAAACAATCAGCACAAAAACTGATTAAGACTTAAACTGAAAACTTTCTCTACTTTGCACTATGAAAACAGATACAAATGGGTCTGTAGGCTAATGACTGCCCTGCCAAATCTCAGCTGTAACTGAATATAAAACGTTTCTTTTCAGTTTTTACCTTCGGGATCTGCATATTGTTGAGCTCCTGTTGCCATTTAACAATGGTCTCCAGGCGACACAACCAGATGTTCACATTGCCCACGAGGACACACCTGCCGAAATGGATGGTCAGACTGTGGAGTGTGGAGCTCAGGTCCTGCAGAAGCTCCTTAACAAGGCGTGGATTATAGTTGTCCTCAAGGACTAAAGCCAAGGTTGAAAAACAAACAAACATCTATAAATCTTACCAAATAAAAAAAGATAAAAATGATTTATTCAAAAGGTACAGTACTACTGACCAACCTATTGCTATACATTTCACACATGCAACATTATGTAAATTACCAACAGAACCAATAGCTTCCCAGTCTCAAAAACAAGAGCAGTTTGTCTGCTAAAATTGCTGATAATTTTGCTGCAGAAAATTAAAAAGGGGATAAAACACCGTGCTTAGGGGCCAACATCAGGGTTGTCACACAGGGTAGATTTGAGTCTCAGTGTCAGTTTCTCAGTGTGTCTTTCCTGGTATTTTTAGGTAAAATTTTTTCTAACAAAATAAAATGCTTAAATTGTGTCTAAAAATGACTTTTGGGGCAGGGATGTAAGTGTATATTTATAAAGTCGCAATGCTGTTTATTTATCATTTCTAACAGAAACTTTGAAGATTTAAAGTGTTCCTTTAGTAATAATTAACATTATTTTAAAATGCTTTTTCTGCATGATTCTGTTATTCAGTTAGTCTTAAAGTGTGTAGAAGAAAATTGCCATGGTAAGGGCCTGGAGTTCCTTTATTTAAATCACCTTATTGCATCTGTTGTGTTTGTTAACAGCAATATCTCTCAAAAACTGCGACCAAAACTGACATAAATTTAGTTTCACATTGTTCTCACCTACTAGGATTAATGGGAATGTTTACATCAGCATGTCTCTGGTGTAATCTGCTCTGAATGTAGTCCAGATATAAAATAAATAGCAGATATTTTTATGTTTTAAATATGCTTCTTTACTCAGAACACTTGAGTATAAA